TACCATCTTGGTCCACCATCATCTCTTACCTGAAATTCTGCAATAGCTTCTTAACTCATATCCCTTTTTCTTGGCCTCTTGTAGGTCATTCTCCACACAGCAACAGAGAAATTCTCTAAAAATAAGTCAGATCATGTTGCTTTCTTACTCAGAATCTTCCAACAGATTCCCACAAAACTCTTTGCTATAGCTTACTAGTTCTTCTCTGACTTCATTTCCTACAATTTTCCTTCTCAGTTATTCCTGTTGAGCAATACAATCTTTGTGTGTTTTTCCAAATACTGTAGCTTGTTTCCTGCATCAGGACCTTAGCAAATTTAAAGACATTTCCTATTTCCTCCTCCTGTAGTGTTCTTCCTTCAGATAGGCATTTATCATTCATATATCCATATTTTTAAAATAAAAAATTTGGGGGAAGATGTATATTTTCAAATATAACAACTCATAATACCCTGGTGTGGTTATGAATGTTTACTTCCTTGCTTAGAATGCAAAGATCACTGTTAATAATTAACAACAATGCAAANAGAAGGGATTCTGAGGCCTGTTAAATTACAGAAAATGCTGTTTGTGAAAAAAGGTTGATGTAAATCTTTTATGAATGAACTCTGAGTAAGTATTTCCATTCATTATTAGGAAAAAGTCCTGGATGAACTTTAGCATTGTCCTTGAAAGTTATTTCAAGTGCTTTAATGCCCTCAAAGAGCTGTACAGAATTACCACTTAGTCTTAACCCATGGTTATATGAAAAAGACATTCTGTCTTGTTGTGATGTAACTGATATTTAAAAATGGTATATACATAGGCAAATGTTAAAAAATATTCTATAAATGTGTGAAGTAGGGAGAAGTACTCAACTGTAATAATTATAAGTATTGTTAAAGGCAAAATTCAGCTATTTACTACTGTTAATTGGCAAATGCTTATGCTGGCACATTGTTTCCAGACATTGGCTATCTTAAAGTAAAATTGATTTGTATTTCTATAAAAATAGCTGACCCCTGTTAAATACTTAATAGCCTATAAATGTTTATACACATTACTTCATTTAACTTTTGGAACAACCCTGTGTGAGGTAGGCAGTATTACCCCTATGTTACAAATGAGGAAACAGCAACTTGGTTCACAGGAATCCCCCAGCCAGTAAACGGTTTAGTTTGAATTCAGTCTCAGCTCTTCTGATCCCAGAACTGGAGCCCCTTCCACAACATTCTGCTTGAACTTAAATTTAACAAGCCAGATGAGAACAGGTCCAGGACACAGTGTCATCTATTTCTTAAGCATTTGTGAAGGACTCTTTGTGTTCCTTAGCTGCATGACTGATTGACTAGAGCTAAGTGTCATGATGCTGAGCAGACAATATCTCAGGAACCTGATTGCAGGGGAGTGTGCTTAATATGATTGTCAGATGTTCATCGTTTCCTGGGGAAGTAATATGAATTGTAAGTGGCAGGAAACTCTACCATATTTTAGTCTTAGGTTTGCATAAAAAAGATTCAGTGAGTATGATTATTAACTTTGTAGGTGTGAGTGTAAAGCAGTTTCAGCACATTGACATTTTTAACCTAATGTGAATAGGTGTTCTCTGGGTATGTACAATAGAAAAACTGTCTTTCAAAGGACAGATTTAGGAAAACTCCAGAATGCATGGATTGGAATTTACTAAAAAAAAAAAAAAAAGTAATAACATTAACTCAGTAAAACTCATTATCAGTCTAGAAAGTATTAGAAACCACTTTTTGTGCAACCAATGAGAATTTTAAAATTTGGTTTGTATTGCAAATGATTCTTCCAAGTTTTTCTTGACAGTCATTTTCTTAAGAAATAATAGTGAAGATATCAAAAACGTCTCTTTTTTCCTATTAAATAGGAAAATATAAAATATTCCATCATTTTGGAAACTCATGTGAAAGCTTAATTTAAAAAACTTTTTTGAAGGAAACATGTTGATTGTATTCTAGTAGATAAAGTCATGAAAAATATAGTTGAATGCCACCTGTGAAAGATACTTATATATGTGCTGTTAAAACTTTAAAAAATGTAACAAAAACCCTAAGGCCTCCACCAGCTCATCTGACAGGTGACAGAGATAATACACACACACACACACACACACACACACACACGTGTTGAAAATTTAGATAACAATATAAGAAATTATGTGGTAAGTACCAAATAGTAGATACAGACAGTACATTCTAGAGATATTTCCCGGTGATTAACCAGAGTTGCCTTCCTGAAGGAGGTATGATTTAAACTTCAGCAGTGTAGAGTTAGAAGATTATCCTTGGCAAACAGGGTATGGGCAAGTGCCCAACAATGGCAAAGAGCCAAACACTACTCTCCAGGGTAGGAATAAAGGTTGGAACCCAGATTATGGGGGACCTTGAAGAAGAGGACAATTAAGAATTTAGCATTGAGAGTACTTACTTTTTTAACATTTAAATTGCTATATAAACAAAATGTATCTATAATTTTGACTAAGCCTCTGCATGTGATATATTATCTTTTCTGTTTTGGCTAATTTTCTTATTAAAGTCTATCTATTCTTAGAGTTACATTTATCATCAACAGAAGAAAAAGTATATTTCAAAATACCCAAAACAAGAAACTTTTAAACCTGTCCAAGAGTATATGTTTCTTCATTTCTAGGCAATACCTTTATTGATATTCTTCTATTTGAAGTTGGAAGTTTGGTCTTTAAATGTGCAAAAGCACCAGCTCACCTAGTTTCTTCTGGTCTATACTGTGTTCTTACACATGTCTCTTAATGAAAATAGCAAGTGCCCCTAGGAAAGGATGGAAACTGTTAGCAGAGGCTCAAAGAAACAACTTTTCCTCTGTAAAGCAGAATGAAAATCTGCACATGGAGCTGAAAATCTTTTCTGAGTACAGATTTTTATAGTACCTTTTTCTGCTCTTCCTTTTTAGAATATGCAAACATAAAAGTTTTTCTTATTCATTTATTCTGAAATGACTCGCCTTCTCCTAGATAGTATGTGAAGTTATATTTTGTGGATGGGGTGGGTATGTGAGTTCATTTGGGGATGTGTTACAAGATAATAGAGAATGGGCAACTGCCTTCTACAATTGTAAGGTTGAATCAGTACCTCCACCCCCACCCATTTTCTGATACTGTTATCTTCACTTTGCTGTTTTAAAAAGTTACTCTTGCTCTCAGTCCTTCTAGCCTGCCAACTGGTATCAGCAGTCTTTTAACTGGTATTTGGTGCATAAACTTGAGTCATAGTTAGCTCCCTTGGTTGCCGTGGCACTTGTTTTCAAAACCTAACATTTACTTAGTTGAGAGTTTCTAAAGCAGCTTGTGAGGGAGTCTCCAGTAGCAAACAATTAAGACCATATCTAACTTTTCAGTAATCCTGCTCTATTAAGGGCAAAGCAGGAAATGATAGGACTGCTTGGTACATGAAACAAACATACATTCAAAGGATGGAGAAAAAGCCTTTAGAGCTCAAAAGGCTGTAGATTAATAATAACAATAATGAGGCATTTGTGTAGAATGATTGCCACTTCTCAGTAGGTTTGAAATTTTTTCAAAATAGAAAGTTACCTATGTATTTTGCTACAACAACAACAAAAAGATTAAAAGAAAGGTTACTGAAAACAATCTCAAGTGAGAGCAGTCTTTTTCTCGGTTACTGATGAAGAATACCTTTGGTATTATCCCCCTTGGTATTTTTCTGTTCCTCCTCCCTTGATGTCCAGCAGTAATTCCACTTTAATAAACGCTGAATTAAACATTCAGTGGCCTGTGCCAGCATGTTGAGTAAGGAAAGATCTTCCCACAGATCATCACCACAGCTTTATTCATTTGCAGCCCTCTTCATCACATTTAAATTGTGCAGTTTATTTCTCTCAACTTTGAAGTTTCTTTTCCATCAAAAGCTCAAATTTGGGTTAATTACCCTAAACACACAATCTTTTATAGTCTTCTTTCCACTTTTCAAAACCATTGAGTTATGACCTTAATGTACTGTGTGGTTGCACTCTTGCACCATTTTTAGTGCTCATACTGTAGGAAAACTTAACCAATGAAAAATGAGATATTAGCAGTAAGAAATGTCATTGACACCTGACACAGGGCCTAGCATGCAGTGAGTGCCCCATGACTATTTTTTGAGCCAATGATGAATGTGTCCGTGGCTAACAATTAATTACAATCAGCCATACCCTTAGACTAACGCACCTTCTATGCATTCCTCCTGAATCCTCACTAGAGTTTCATATGAACTGTACAACTCAGCACATATCTGTTGTCAGCACACCCACCTCTCTGTCAGGCCCCGAAGAGAAATAGAGGTACCCATCAAGGGGATCATGATCAACCAATTACTGCTTTGGATTTTTGCTGCCTGGGCAGTTTCACATTATCTGGAGAATGTCTTCTCTATATAGTGTACCCAAACATTTGTATAACTAATAAAGTAATAGGAGGGGTCAAAAATACATATAATCAAGAGCAGATATTCAAATCATAGTTTCTGTTTGCTTTGGAATATATTACATAAACATTTCAACACAAATTGATTTTCTGTTTTCTTACAATTGATAAGTGTTCTTTGGACATGACTTTGGAGAGATAGGACCTAAATGCTTTTTCTGTGGATTCAACAAGAGCCTTAAAAGTAATCCTTTAAGACGTTATACACACACACATATGTACATGTATGTGATATTTTATGTTCTATATTTTATTTACTATTTTGAGGAAAGAAGGTTTGGTTTACCATTCTCTTTGCTTTTAAAAATATGCCTGGCATAGAGTAGGCCCTCAGTAAATGCTGTAATTGAAAAGCACATGCTTTGTACAGCATGGTGACTATAGTTAAAAACAACAAAAAAAGCAAATACTTTCCAATGAGAGGTTAATTGGGGCCTAATTTTATTTGCGAGTTAGTGGATGTTCTGGTTTAATTTAAATAGTCTTATTAGATTTTTAGTAATTGGAAAATTAGATCTTATTTTTGCTTTTTTTTTAGGAAGAATCCCCAGCACAAGATAGAATATAGACATAGTACACTTCCAGGTAAGTAATTTTACTTCAGGAAACTCAAAATGAAGCCTTCAAATAATTCTCCTGTTAAACCTAGATTTAGTTTCCAGGTACTGTGACGTTTTTTTAAAATCTCTGGTTCTGTGAATTTGTTGAATTGCTGATTTTAATAATTTTTCTTGTATTTTAAAGAACATACATGTTTATTTACTAAATGTTTTCTCTAATCATTGTCCAACAATATATTTATCCTTGTATCTCTTAGGATTCTCTTGTGTGCAGATGCTTGAAAAGAAAATTTTAAACTGGCCTAAATGATAATGAGAACTTAATGACTTCTGTAACTCAAAAGTCTAGAAGTAGGGCTGGATTTAGATGAGGTTTATTGCTTTGGCTCATTAATAATGTCACTAATGTCACGAACGGCCCAATTTCCTTCCATTATTCTATCCTTAGAGGATCATTATTATCTATCCTAAGATTGGCTCCTCTCCTATCAAGGGAGTAGATGCATCCTTATTCAGCTGGGACAGTGAGCACCTGTGTTTGCATCCAAGGAGGGAGAGAGAGAAAGAGAATAAACCACTTTGGCTCTCACTATTCCTAGGAAAAATCATGAAACTTACTTTTTTTTTAACTGACTTAGATCACATTCTTACTCTTGAACCAAAATCACTGTGACCACTGATTAGTTTGTACCACCCCTGGAACCAGGATAGAATCGCTTTCTTCAGAACCATAGGGATCCCTCATAGAAACTAATTTTGGGGGATTGAGAAGGAGGGGAGAATGACACCAGAGAAGAACCATCCATCCTGTTCCTTCTGTTTCCCCTGTTTCCAAACTCTAATATTTTTCTCCTTAAAAAATTTGGCCTTTTTAATACTGTTTATATAATGCAGCAGCCAATTCAGCCCACACCATTTCTGCCCACAGAATGACAGAATAAAATACATACCATGCAGGCTATACCCATATCCATTTGTATGTGTATAAACAAAACCAACATGTTACCAAGTGATAGAAATAATTTCACCATAAGAGAATCCCATTTGCTATTCTGATTAAAATATACTTTAGTGCTTTAGTACTCCAGACACAAATAGTTTCATATTATCTGAGCTGCTGTGGCATAGAGGTGATACATTACACTTTCTTTAGTGGGACTGTATCTAATAATATAGCTTTTGTGGTGATTAAATTAACTTCCTTTCCAGCAATATTGTAATCATATTCATTAAAACTATATGTAACTGACAAAGTTTAGCATTGCCCCATGAATGAGCATTTGACACATCTGTGTATTTTTACAGAAGTAGGAACCATTTTCCTAAAAAGGATCAATATACACCAGATGGCATAGTTAAAAATATCTGAGTTTTCTTTGCAAAGTCTCTTTGAATTATCATTGAAGTATCCTCTAAAAGAAAAACATATTTTTAGAACTAACTTTTTTTAAGAAAAACTTTTTATTTCATTGGAAAGACAGTTTTTTTAAAAAGTATAGTTATTTTTAAGCAACAGTGTAGTTTTATATTTTTAATATACTTTCAAGTGTTGCTATGTAGCAATATAGTCAGAATAGCTCTTCTCACTCTAAGACTTATAAATAAAGGTGTCTGGAATATTTCAATATTACATTAAATGTTGAGGTCTCGTATTTCTTAATTTAGAGAGAGCTAACACTGAATTCTAGCGTACTCATTTTTTCTCATCTCCCAAATCTTAAAGTTTAACATTATCCCAGTTCTTAATCTCATTTATATATTTATTTGTTACACACTTATTTATTCATTAGTTTTGTCTTCCAAGTGAAAACAAACTTACAGAGATACACAAGAACCCTGGCTCTGTATGCTGTGGTGAGATGCTCTAAAATCTCATAGGAAAGGGAAGGAGCACTTACTGCTGGGGATTATAAGGATGGACTCCTTGTGGGAACTTTAGGTTAAGTTGGTCTTTAAAGTGGTAGGCTTTAAATCATCTTTGTTCTTGGTTTTGTGGTGGGTAGGTATAAGCCATCCCATGCAAAGTGAATAATAGATCGATCAAGGACATCAAAGTTGAAATGGTTGTGTTTGGAGTTAGCAGGTGGGTCAGTTTAACTGACGGTGGAGTCTCTGTAGTTATGGTGGGTCATACAAAAAGGATGTATTGAGGTCAGATGGTTAGAAGCTCTTGAAAGCCAGAACAAAGATGTGGGTGGGTTGGCAAATAATGGTGAGCCAGTATTTTACCAAAATCAAGTTGGTGATGCTGAGCAGTCTGAATTAGAGTGAAAGAAGCCTTCTGGAGATTAGTTAGGCAGTTGAATAAAGGGCCAGAGCTAGGGTGGTAGGTATGAGAATGGAAAAGAAGGTTTGGATACAAGCAAGATTTTGAAGGAAGAATCAACAGGGTTTGCCAGCTGATTGGTTATGATGTGGGACCTGCGATGACTCAGAATTATAGTGCAGATTATCAGGAGACTGGGAATGACATTTACATGTCATAGAGATCAGGAGGAAGCACTAGATAGTTTTCTAGTTTTCTAGGTTCTTTTTTTTTTTTAATTGAAACATGCTGAATTTGAGGTGGGGGTATCGTAGCTGCATAAAGAGACTATAAAACTTAATATAGCACCAAATTAAATAAACTGCATTAAACTTTTACTGTTTAGTTTCTGATTGGTAGCCCTTGTAAAATACTTCAGTCTATAAAGTTGTTTCACACATGTAACAATTCATATAGGGTATTCTGTTTTTTGTAGGTATCATCTGCTGTCATCTGTGAAGTTTCTTGTGTATCTAATTGGTTTAAAGTTTCACTAACTTTCCACTTTTTCAGTGTTGAAGTTTTGGCACAAGATACTGAATAATCAGTGCCAGGAAAATTTTGTTTTATACTTTCTTAGCTATCTTACCTATTGACAGCACTTAAAATAAATTATCATCAGCATTTTATCACCTGATTATTGGAGTCATTCTTTCTGGCTTTTATGTGATATGCATTTTTCTAGACAATTGGTACTGTTCATGCTGAAAATTTAGAATGTTCTACTGATAGCTATTTCAATATTTCCCTAGTTCTGCAGTTGTATGCACATATGTGCTTATATACTTTTTTTTTTTCAAAATTGGAAACCAAAGTAGCTCTGCAGACATCCTTCTAGGGATAAGAACTGGCAGTGAAATTTTAATTGTAAAGGAAAGGTTAGATGCAGACTTTGGAATTGTCATTTTGATGTTACCATATTTGGTATTTCTAAGTCAGAAATTACCATATCTTTACACCAAATAGTTAACTAGTAACATGTTGTTTTAAACATGTTAAAGACTTTGTTACTTTTTCTAAGGGTTGTTATTCTTAATCATCATGGTCCTCAGTTTTTAAATATAAGTGACAGCCTGTTTCTCTTTTGTTGCTTTTAAGTTCAAGCTGTCAACCCATCCCTACTTCACTGATTTGGAGAAGAAATGAAGATTCCTATTTTGGCCTTAAAATTAGAACCTTGGAGCCAGAAAGGACCTTTGGGGTTATTTAATCAACATCCTTGATTCATAGTTAAAAGATAAATTCCATTAAGTGACTTTTTCATTGTCACGGGCTTGTTTATGACAGATTTTTGGATTTTTACCCCTACAGTCTATCCTCTTTCTCTTAAACCAGGCTGTTTTTTAGAGACTTTTTGTTGGGTGAGGGAGATGGACAACCATATAAAACCAGTAACCAGCAGAAGAAACTTACAAGCATTCTAGGTGAAACTGGAGACTTCGAAGCTCATTTTGATTTGGAAGAACAAACTCACTTCTCATTTCTCAGACGTACTTCACAATTATATTTCAAATAAGCTAGTCATAATAAAAGACAATGCTATATATAGGCTCGTTTTTTAAAGTATAATTAAAATAATAATTAAAAATAATAATTAATTACACTCTTTAGTTCTGTGGCTATCTATTGGAAGTCACAACTACAAAAAATAAAACTACAGAAAATTATTTTTTGCCACTGATTAAAAAAATTAAACAGCTGCTGCTGTGTCACCTGTTGTTATTTTTCTGCTTCAGTAACGTGTTTACTCACCATGGCATTCTCTGTACAATACTGGGGTCTTGGTGTGGGGTCCTCTGTGATGTGACTCCTTGTGGCTCAGTTGCCTGGTTCTCTAACCAACTAGGTTTCCTTCCGGAGAAGCTTTCTTTGAAATTTTTGTATATCAAACAGCGCTATAACAAGGCTTATGTGAACATTACTCCTTTCAGCACTTTAAATCCAGATATCCAGGTACTGTGCTGTATGCTTCAGCCTGCCCAGTTGGAGAGTGCATGCATGGGTTTGTTTTACTGCTTGCAGTGTTCTCCATATCCCTTTTGCAAAAAACTTAGTAATTTGTTATGGTAAAGACAGGGACTTTATTCCTAGTTTAGGTGCTAGTCATATTTATTTCAAAACCTTACTTCCTGAGACTAATCCCATGATTTGGGAAACCATGTAATAACTCCAAGCATTTTCCAAGAAAGTAAAGATTCATTATTTCTATGACCCAGTTAAACTGAAAGGCAGAAACTTATTTTTCTAAATACCTTCAGCAATTTAAAAAAAAGTGGATTCCTATCTAGATGGCATTTGTATTGTGGAATATTTAAAGTCACTAATTGAATTTGCTACAGGAGAGTCCATTATAATTGATTCCACAAAGATCATCACATGTCAGCATTTAAAGGCCTGTTAAGAAGTACTGACACGGCACCACTAACAAGGACACAGAGCTGAATTCTAGAGCTGGCTTTGCCCTTGTTGTGACTTGCTCTTCAAGTGCTTTCCCACAGTGAAACTTCCTATTCGTATGAAGTGAAGTAGGTGAAATTTGATTGCCAGACACATTGAGTTTTGCGATGGCTGGGTTTCTTTTAGATTCAAAGCCACCTTTTAAAAGAACATGAATGTGATGTTTACATGAAAACATCAAATGTAGATGACGATCTGGTAGAGATAAACAATTAAGGAAAGAAAATGGGATTTTTCTGATTAATATGTCCTTAGTGCCTCAACAAATGAGCCTGCCTAGAATGTTGCAAACATTTCCAGGGTTCATTGAGACTTAAAGACCCTTCAATCAGTAAGATTTAAATAAAAGTCTTCCATGTAATTTATTATATTGGCAGGCTAGTGATTAAAAGCATAGGTTATAATAAGAAGGGTTTCTGTAAAACTAAAGGTACTTGGCATTGATTTGCAAATGACACATTTGTTCATTCATATACTCAACAAATATTTATATACAGACATGTATATTTTTATATATCTATATACATGTGTATATTGGTATATACACGTATATATAGATAAAACTTGTAAAATTTTACAAAAGTGGGCAGTGCACATATAATAATTATGTGATATCATGTGGTAATAACTGCTAAGAAGGAAAGTAAAACTATGTACGAGGACAGAATGGCAAGGGTGTGTATATGGAGGGAGGGGCAGGGGCAGTGCTATTTCAGAGAGGATGGTAAAAGAATGACTCTGATAATTTGACATTAGAACAGAGCCTGAAGGAGAAAGCAAGCCAGGTGATGATCTGAGGGCAAAGATGCCCGGCGATGGGAAGAGTGACTTCAAAAGCCCTGGAGATGGTCCTGCTTAGACTATTCAAGGAACTGTGAAAAGGGGAGAACTGGAACAAAAGAAAAAGAGTGGCATATGAGATCAGGAAAGCTAGCAGTGTGCTAGTTGTGTAGGGTCTTAAAGGCCAAGACCTGCAAGTAAGGACATCAGATTTTATTCAGAGTGAGACAGAAAGCTATTGGAAGGTTTTCTGGCCTTTTTGTGGAGAATAGACAAGAGTGGAAGCAGGGAAAGTGGCTAGGTGAATATTGGAATAGACCAGGAAGAAGAGGATGGTATAGGGACCAGGGTACTGGAGTGGGTGTGCTGAGAAGTGGCAGATATATTTTGATTGTACAGCCCATAGGAGTTGTCAGTGTAGGATATTGGATTTTCAGTGGGGGATATTCAAGGATGACTCTAAGGTTTCTTGCCAAAACAACTGGAAGGCTGGAGACATGTACTCAAGACTGATAAGAGAATGATTTAGGTGAAGTGTTAAGAGTTGTGCTCTAGAAATGTTAGCTTTCAGGTGCTATTAGTCATCCAAGTAAAGATAATACATAGGCAATAAGATAAATGGGTCTGGAATTCAGGCAGTGGCCAGGAATTTAAGACATAAATTTGGGAATTTAACATATAAGACAGCATGGAATGATCTGAGGAGTATGTTAGAGAAGAGGTCCCAGCCTAAAAATTGGGCACTCCAAAGTTAGAGGTTGGGAAGGTGAGGAAGGTCCAGCAAAGGACACCAAGAAGGAACAGCAGATAAAGTAGGTAGAGAACCTGAAGTTACTTTAGCTCTCTATACTTTTCTTATAAATCTGCTAAGATAATTTCTGAATCTGAAAGGAAACTATCGAGATGTCATTAGTTCTGTATATGAGATATTTCCAAGAGCAAAATGTACAAGAACAGAGAGATTGATGTTCTTTCCTTCTCCATCTGCAAACTACCCTCTAAATGTTTTATAAATCAATTAGATTATAAAAGTTATATGGGGATTGAGATTAGCTAGACATAAACATGCCTTCAAGATGCTTACAGGAAGTAACAAATGTATACAAAATAAATAAATTTAGGGCAAGATTTCCCTTAAGGAACTGGCTTGCTTACACTAATGAGAATTGGGCAAATTATTATATAACCTTTTTACCCTTGGCTACAAAGAAACTTGGGGAGAAATTTGATGCTTAATTTATAATAATTACATTAAAAATTGATGTTGACATATTTATATTCTCTTTATGTTCTTAGTTTCTATCTTTGTTTTTTTTATTACCTCACCATTGTTATTATAAGCTGTCTCAAATCTTCCCTGGAATGAGTGGTGATATTAAGAAAAAAATGTAAGTCTCTGGGCTCTATGGGAGTAGAAAGGGTAGAAAAAGTACTTCGTTTGTCATCATTCTTATTTTTTCTCTGTCAAAATCCTTGATTTTCCTTTAAGTTACATCTACTTATTGCATGTGAACATTTTAGGAAGAAGTCAACTAATACATACACAAAAGTACAAACACTGATATTTTTAACTCAGACATTTCCTGTTCATCACAGGCACTGTCCTCTGCCATTCAGATTTCCAGATAGAGTCTTCCTACTTCTTTCTTATATGTTTCCACATCATCTCAGATGCTCTCACTGCCTTATTTTAAACCACCTCTGTTGATTGCTGTGGAAAGAAAATAACAGAGTGGGATAAGGAAGAATGAATTTGGAGACAAATTAATGCTAGTATTGTAATATTATTTAGAAATCTATGAATTCTAATGACTGTTACCCTACTAATCCTAGTCTTATTCAAACTATAAGATCTGTAAAAGAAACTTTGCAAAGTTTGTAAACTCCTATCCTATTTAATCACAACCCTGCTGTGTCGTCAGATTATTCTAGAGTTGCTTTGATGATTAACCCCAAACTTCAGTGCCTTCTACCATTAAGGAGTGTATTTCTCCTTTGTGATATAGCTACCTGTTGGCTGTGGCCCTGTTCAGGATTCTGATCCTGGAATCCAGGCTGAAGGGTTAGCCCCTATATGAGACACTATGTTTTTATGGCAGAGGAATAATGCAAATAGCAAAACCACAGGATGGCTCTTAAACCGCAGGAAGGCACACGCTACCTTCACTTACTTTTCTTGAGCCAAGTCTGATGTCACTGGGGTGTATAAATATCATAGGGTGAGACAGTGAATAACTGGGACAAAAATATATTCGACTACCCCAGAAGGTAGGCTAACATGAATATGATTACAATATTAAGGAACCATTGTTCTAAATCTCCCAGGACATTCTAATTTCAGGAGACTCATGGTAGGAAAAGTTAGAATTAAATAAATGTTTTTTCAAAGTTTGAATTACAAAAATGAACAAATGGGACTACATCAAACTAAAAAGGTTGTGTACAGCAAAGGACACCATCAGCAGAACAAAAAGGTGTCCTACAGTTTGGGAGAATATATTCATAAGCGACTTACCCAATAAGGGGTTAACATCCAAAATAGATAAAAGAGTTCATACACCTCAACATCCGAAAAAGAAATAACCCAATTAAAAAATGGTCGGAGAATCTGAACAGACACTTCTCCAAAGAAGAAATTCAGATGGCCAACAGGCACATGAAAAGATGCCCCACATTGATAATCATCAGGGAAATGCAAGTTAAAATCACAATGAGGTAACACCTCACACTAGTTAGGATGGCCAACATCCACATGACAACAACAGATGCTGGCGAAGATGCAGAGAAAGGGGAACCCTCCTGCACTGCTGGTGGGAATGTAAATTAGTTCAGTCATTGTAGAAAGCAATATGGAAGTTCCTCAAAAAACTAAAAATAGAAATACCATTTGACCCAGGAATTCCACTCCTAGGTATTTACCCTAAGAAAACAAGATCCCTGATAAAAAAACATATGCACTCCTAAGTTTATTGCAGCACTATTTACAGTAGCCCAGATATGGAAACAACCTAAGTGTACATCAGTAGATGAATGGATAAAGAAGATGTGGTACATATACACAATGGAGTATTATTCAGCCATAATAAGAAAACAAATCCTACCATTTGCAACAACACAGATGGAGCTAGAGGGTATTATGCTCAGTGAAATAAGCCAAGCAGAAAAAGACAAGTACCAAATGATTCCACTCATTTGTGAAGTATAGCAACAAAGCAAAACTGAAGGAACAAAACAGCAGCAGACTCACAGTCTCCAAGAAGGGACTAGTGGTTACCAAAGGGAAAGGGTTGGGGAGGGTGGGTGTGGAGAGAGGGAGAAGGGGATTAAGAGGCATTATAATTAGCACTCACAATATAGTAGGTAGGTCATGGGGAAGGCAGTACAGCACAGAGAAGACAAGTAGTGACTCTGTGGCACCTTTCTACTCTGATGGATAGTGACTGCAGTGGGGTGGGGGGGGGACTTGATAATACGGGTGAATGTTGAAACCACAGTGTTGTTCATGTAAAACCTTCATACGAGTATATATCATGATACCTTAATTTTTAAAAATAGAAATTTTGAATTACAACAAATGGTTGTTTCAACCCCTTTTCTAGAAATTTTTAGTGATTAACTATGTAGTAAATAAAATTGATTCTTAACAGATAAAGACATTTTGCAGTTAGATGTCTCTAATCCAAGGTTGAGTGGTGGTTGATGTGTTGTGTACCACACTTGCTGTTTTCCAGAAGGAAGCATTTCAGATGAAGACAGTGAAAATGTTGGACAACCCAATGAATATAACTTGAATGACAGCTTTCTAGATGATGAGGAAGAAGATGAGCCAACAGCTGAAGATTCTGACTGGGAACCAGGAGAGGAAGACCAAGAGAAAGAAGATATGGAAGAGCTTTTGAAAGAAGCAAAGAAGTTTATGAAAAGAAAAAAGTAGCTCTTTTCTGCAATACTGTGTGGCTCACGTTTACTCTTTTTTTATGGGAAAAATTCAGGAACTAAGGAAGCACTTAAGCAATAATTATTTTCCTTCTTTTTATAGTTAGGACTTTACTATTGACTCTTTGCAAATGAAATCTTATAATGTCAACTTTCAGATATAGTCGATGGAATTTGTCCTGTTGCTTTGCATTTTCTACACTGTTTAAAGGATCTTGGAGCAGGAAACAGAGAGTTAAAGATAAATAATTGATATTTTCATGTACTTTGTGTGCTGGTAATAAAAAGTTAAAGCCATATATCGCACAAAACTTGAGTCTTTTTTCTTTTTTCCAAAAATTCTGTCTTTATAGAATCCTATGTAAGTATAACAGGTAAATTACTTCATGGGTGGGAAAGTGAACCTCTTTCATTGCTCTGGAGGTAATTCTTCAAGCAGAACCAGACTTTAAAAAATGATAGCCATCTTACAGGACTGTTATTTTTCTAGTATCCTAGATACAAGCTTTGGAGTTTCATTTACTGTTGTTATTTTCTGTAACTTAGGAAATTAGTACCAAATGGACACTGAACATAGATTCAGTGAGACTATAGAAGAGAAATGTTCACCATGCAGGGACTGCTATTTGTAATTTGCTAAATGTGTGAGTTGAAAGGCAGAAAAACTCAAAGAATTCAACAGTTTTTTCAAACTGAACTCCTGCCTGATTATTTTTACTCTTTGTGTACTATCTTTAAGCCTATAGAAATGATTTTTTACCTTAATTTTCTCAAAGGATATTAGTTCTTTCATTCTCAGAGAAAGTAGCAAGTCATCTGCCAGTATTCAAGATTCTGGCCTTTTATTTCAGGGGGAAAAAAACCTCTTACTCTCGTTTTATGACATATATCTCTATATCTCTATTCTTAAACTACTGTAGGCCCTGTAATGCTCTTCATTTTAGGTGATAGGATTTTTGAGATATAGTTTAGATTCTTTAATTTTAATCTTTTTAAGATTTAGAATCATTTGAGTATGTGTACACAGCAGGTAGAGTATTGAAATGGAAGTATGGTATTGAAATCATAAATCCCTAAACCAAAAGTGTCCTTGTTACACACTAATATTTTTAATTCTGAGACCATAGAAATGTGTATCTTAAAAGAGCAAGTCAGACTTATAATTCTTTTCTTAATGTTTTTAATGTTTCCCAAGTAATTGAATAATATTAAAATTTACTTTAACTGCAGCAAGAACAAGATAAATATTTCTCTAGATTGTTATTACCTATTATTCTGACTTTGCCTCTGTTATTACTTAGGAACTTATTTTCCTGTTCTAATATCCCTTTAGTGTTGGGGGCTTGACAAACCTGGGGAAATACCTAACTTACTCTCATCCTTGCACTGACTTAATCCTTAAAGTCCACTCGTAGATACATCCCAAAGGAATTGAAAACATGGGTCCACATAAAAATGTGTACACAGTATCCATAGAAGCATTATATATAATTGTCAGTGAGTGGAAACACCTAAGTGTACATTAGCTGATGAATAGGTAAACAAAATATGGCATCTTTTCAATGGCATATTTATTGGCCATAAAAAGTAACTGAAGGATTGAGACATGCTACAGCATGGATAAGCTTTGGAAACATGCAAAGTGAAAGAAGCCAGACACAAAAGGCCACATACTGTATGAACTCAATATGTGAAATATTCAAAACAGGCAAATGTATAGAAACAGTGGATTAGTGGTTGCCAGGGGCTGGAGGAGGAAGGGATAGGGACTGGCTGCTAATGGGCATAGGGTTTCCTTACAAAGTGATAAAATACTCTAAAATTAGTGGCGATGGTTCCACAACTCTGCAGATATACTAAAACCCACTGAATTGTACTCTTTCAAAGGGTGACTTATGGTGTATGAATTAAATATCTCAATAAAGCTGTTATAAAAAATGCAACAGTTGGCACTGGTCTTTTACAAAGAAAAAGCATTTAATGTCAGAATGTATTCTTTCTAGTAATGTGATAGTTCATGGTAAGTAGTGAAGGGAAAACTGATGATTTTTAAAAGTAGTTTGATGGGCCTTCACTGTCAGCCTGAAAACATTTTTTACTATAATATATACATACATAATTGACTAGAGTAATGAAAATTTGCCACTCATAAATTTGCCACTATCCAAAAGTAGTTGAAATCTTTCATAGGCTGAAATGGCATAGTGAAGAAGCGCTTACCATTCATTTATATGGAAAAACTGAGCATTCCGAGACCACCAAAATAACCTCTCTTAGGCTTTTCTGATACCTTAGGGCACAAAATAAATGGAGATAAAGCACAGATGCTCACAGACAGGTAGGTCAAAGCTCTGGCAGCCTGATGCCAGATGCTGAGTGTGGTTCCAAGAGAAGCAGCATGGAGGCGCCACTCTCACTCCTGAGATGCCCGCTGCCTCTGTAATGGCTGCTGTCAAATAAACACTGAATGCTATTTTCACTTTGCCTTTCTTTTTTGGTAAAAGTGAAAATCCTCTAGATTTCTTTTAGTTAGTGAAAACAGGGACTAATGGAGGTGTTTTGTAAAAGCAAAGTGGCCTAACATTAACTTTGGAAAAGCAGGGGAGACGTGTGGAGGGAAAACTGATGATGGTAGGTTATCGGTGGGCTCAATAGGTTATCGGTGGGCTCAAGAGCAATGCTAACAGAAACTTAGTTCTTTAATTAGTCATCCTAGCTTTCAAGCAGAAGTTAGAACTGTGGAAAATCTCTGTCTGTCACTTTGTGCTTGATAGCTTCCTAACACTTTAAATACTGTTCTGATGATACTGTTGGTGATACAATGCAATGTATCATTTGATCAGTGATACAATCAGCATTTGGATGATCTGCAAAACTCAGCAAGTCAGGATTTTTCCAGTGACCAGTATGTGTTATAAAATCAAGCATGGGTAAAGATCCATGTAAAGTACAAGATAGATCAGTGGAATTTAATATAACAGAGTCTGTAAAGTTCATTAATACGGTTTCAGATTACACATTTCAACTAGCCTTCCAGAAATGGCCATTTGTCCAATTTTGGTGGCATCAAAAGTAATATCCACAACTATCTGAAAAGCCTATTAAAATACTCCTAAATGTACATATTAGGAAAATATTGCAAATGAATGAGCTAAGTACCTTACTCAAGAAGCTAGACAAAAGCATTAAATAAACCCAAAGAAAATAGGACAGAATTAATAAAATAAAAACTTGAAATAAAAGATTTTAAAAAGCAGACCTGATTAATAAGACACAAAAATACATTCTTTGAAATCATAAAATAGATGCTTCACAAAATAAAAGACAATTAGAAGGCCTAGAACTATAAATATGGATATAAGGTGCTATGTACAAGTTCACGCCAATAATTTTGTAAATCTAGGTAAATGTATGACTTCCTATAAAAATGCAATTTACCAAAATTTAATTTGGAACATAAAAAAGCTGAATAGGTCAATGGCGATAGAGAAAATGGAAAGTATTGCAAGCTCTACTACTAGTGTGGGCCTAGATACTGGGTATTACGGTGAGATTCAAACTCTTATTCAAACTCTAAAGGACATGAAAGCTAACATTAATGGAGATGCACACCTTATTTCTAGATAGAAAAATGCAATGTTGAAATATATGTTAATTAGCTTGTAGTGATCATTTCACAATGTCTGAATATATCAAAACATCACATTGTACACCTTAAACATACACAATTTTTATTTATCAAGCATACCGAAATAAAGTGGAAAGGCAGAGAAAGACAAGTCTCCCTAAATTAATCTATAAATTCAGTTCAATCCCAAGTGAAATTTCAAATGGAGTCTTTATAAGGTCCAACTATAAAATCTAAAGTTTTTACAAGTTTGCAATTCTAAAACTCATTTTGAAGGAAAATGCACTAGGCAGTAATTTTTGAACAAGAACAACCAGGAGACTTGATTACCTCATCAAAATGTCTACCTCAGAACAAAAGAGCTATCCATGCATTTTTAACAAGATAGTATTGACATAGGAAAAGACAAATAGATGAATAAAACAGAATAGAGACTCTAGAAACAGACCTATGTTTTAATTAAATTAAAAATGAATTTAATTTATGTGAAATGCAATTTTAAAACCAATTGGGAGAAGTTGAAAAATAATTAAATTATATTCTTGCCTCAGATTCTGAAAAATAAAATTTAGGTAGATTAAATCCATCAGAAGGAGAACAAAATATTGGAAGGAAATAGAAGATGTTTCCCTAGCCTATGTTGAGGAAGGCCCTTTTAAGCAAAACCCACACCTCAGAATCTATAAAGAAAAAAAATGAACATATTTCACTAATAAAAACTAAGAAACTGTTTTAAAAGAGCAACAGCCTGAGAACAAGCTTGACTTAAGTATTGGAATGGAAAGATGTATGAAATACTGTTTTTTAAAAAGAGAATCATCAAATTATGAGCCCAGTATGATTCCATTAATTCAGAGAAGAATTACCTATATGTACCATTTACATATGAATAGAAAAGGCTAGTATACAGAACACTGTCAACAGTTCTTACCTGTGAGAATAGGAATGAATATGAAGAGGAAGGGAAGCTTGGCGGGGCTGTCAAATGCAACCTACATGCTAAGGTATTCCTGACATTCTCAAGAATGTATTAAATACCACAGGTGTCTCATTGCTAGGGATACCAATCAAGACCAGCAATAAAAGATAGTCTCAAGTGCAGTCTCAAGATAAAGCCCTCTGAGACCTGGTAAACAATCCTTGCATGATTTCTGATGCTATCAATAACATTTCTGTCAATGAAAACTATTTTAGTGACCAGGACTAATCCCCCTATGCCCTTGGCCCCTGGGGTTTTGCCAAAACATAAATTAAAATAAAAATCATTTAGCTGATAGGGATTTACGAGAGTTTATGGATTTATGGTAAACCCATGCCATGAGTGTTGAGCAACGAATGCCCTAGGCCAAATCTGATGGACAGAGGGGTCTTAGAAGAAATTTAAAAGCTGAACTTCCCCAGTTCCCTTCAAATTTCTGGCACTTACCAATATAACCTGTAAAACAATGTTGGAGAGTTTCGGGAAGCTGGAGGTGAAGGATTATTGTAAAGTAGGACAGGATGAACCAGCTCAGAACTGTATCTTCGCCCTTTGTCCCCAAGGATCTTCTCACCTTCTCCTGGCCATCTCTTGGCATCCTGTGGTGCTCAGCCTAAACACCGGATGATAGGTTGTCCTCGATGTCTTGGTGCTCGGACTCCTCCACAGTGTCAGCATCCTTAGGTCGGTAGATGAGCACCTGG